AGATATATATATATATATATATATATATATATATATATATATATATATATAATTTTGGTTACGTATGTGTTTGGCACTGTTCTGTCCAGTGAAAATGCTTGGATAGTTATTGTGTTCATGTTGTTGGTTGAATGGTTTAACCATGAGTCAGACAGAAGCTTCATGAAGACGATCACAAAAGCTCTAGTGTGTGAAACGCCACCCGGTGGCTGAATCTTGTATTGCAGATATTATATTAATCTTGTATTACTTGTATCTCAAGAAAGAGCTGCACACTATGCCGGCGCTGGCCACACATTTTGATAATGAAACGTGGATACCTGCAGCTTAATAACTAGAGCGTCTTATTTATGTACAAAATTATGATTTATCTTAAATTTAGCATGTGCGGCTTAGAGACAGGTGCGTTCTGTAGCCCAAGAGTTACAGTAAATGATGAAATCATTTAGGAAAGTTTTGATTTTACATGAACTGCAATCCTTGGTTGGTGATACCAACACTCATCAGAAAGGGAGAAAACAGACAAGCAGGTCTGGATCAAAAAGCTAAAAGTTAATTTGCCATAAAGCTAACAATGTAGCTCCTCACCCAGCAAGTCGCTGCGATCCAGCAAAATCTCCAGGTCCTTGTCACTGATCACCTTCCCTTTTGAAGCCTTTACCTCCCTGAAAGGGACCGATTAGTTACTTTAATGCTGACAAAATAAAGGTGATTAATTAAGTAAAGTGATTATTGTCACTTGCGGCAAAGGATTATTTCTTACTTCTCGGTGCGTTTGACTTTGAGCAGCTCCTGGAGCTCCTTCAGGTCGACGCAGCTTTTGTTTTCTTTCAGTTCAGCTTTCCTACCTTTGAATTTATCTGTAGAGAAAAGCAAAAAAAATCATAGAAGTATATTCTACACAACCTCTGATCCGTCACCAGCAACCACTTCTTGTGAACTGGACCCATGTGATTATAGTTATCCTCAACGGAAACACATGACTTTCATGGCAGTGAGTGATAATTATTTGAAGTCAGGCAGCTGATGGTGAGGGGGGGCACCAGAATAAGAATAATGTTCATCTATTGCTGAAGAGGAGAGTTTAGCCACTCACTTTTGTGAATGACCATTTGCTCCAACTTCCTCTTGGCAGAGGCCCTCTCCAGGATCTTCTGGTCGATGGTGCTGGCTGTGACCAGGCGGTACACCACCACAGGTTTGGTTTGCCCGATGCGGTGACATCGATCCTGGGCCTGAAGGTCTGCCTGGGGGTTCTGAGGCAAACAGCAGGGACATTACATATATTATTAAATTTATAATCCGAGGTGTGAGTGAAATGCAGTTTTCTGCTCCTCAAACACATTAAATAAGAGTCGTTAGTGAGGAAACGGTTATACTTTGACGAGAACAGCCATAAAACACCATGTACAGGACCCTTCAGTGTCTCCGCTGCTTTTGCAGTCAGTTTAAAGTCATGAGTGGTGTTCCTCTGTCAGTCTGGAGCACGGACCTAGTCTACTTTTTATATGGACTCAACATCTGAAATGCAGTGTAAAGTGCTGATCACGTGATTCTCTGGTGTAAGTTGAACGGGCCCTAAATATAATTTGTTGGATAACTGCTGACTCGTCCCAACAACTCGTGTTTTATCTGCACCCACCCAGTCGCTGTCAAAGATGATGACCGTGTCAGCAGCTGTCAGGTTTATCCCAAGTCCTCCTGCTCGGGTGCTCAGCAAGAAGATAAATACTTCTGGCTCCGTGGAGAACTTTTTCATCTGAGAGAGAACAAAAAATATTATCAACTAGAGAAATCGCATTTCCTGCAAGACTGCAGTGTGAACCAGTGTGTACAGAAGAACCTGCTGAAAAACAGCTGAAATGGACAACTAAGCCTACTTGAGCTGAAGAAAGCAAAAAGAACATGCATTTGCTGAATTAGGTTTAAATAAACCTTTTAAGTTTAAATAAGTACAAATTAGCGCATAAATAAGAAAATTAGTGTGTGTGTGTGTGTGGGGGGGGTTTGAAATCAGCAAAAAAAATTGCTGATTTCAGCAAAGCAGAAAGAAGCCTGAACTACCAGAAGGAAATGGAAGGAGCTGAAATGAGCTCCAAAAATGTGGAATTAACTGAAAATGCTGAAATTAGCATAAAAACAGCTAAATACTAGCTGAAATAGCAGAAAAAGCTAGAAATGGCAGAAAACAAGTTGAAATGAGCTTAAGCTGAAATTAGTAGAAATAAGTTAATTAGGCTGAAAGTAGCAGAAATTGCCCAAAAAACTTGAATTTATCTGAAAACAGCTGAAATAAGCAAAAATATAGTAGCTGAAAATATGGAACAAGCTTAAATTATCAGAATAAAGCAAAAAGAACACGTTTTCCCAATTAAGCTGAAAGAAGCAAAAATGAGCACAAAAAGTGTTAATTATGTGAAAAAAAAGCTGAAATTAGAATAAAAAACAGCTGAAAAAATTAGCTCAAAAAAGCAGAAAGAAGCTTAAATTACCAGAAGGAAGTGGAGAGCACATTTTTGCTGAATTAGGTTGAAAAAAGTTTAAATGAGTGCAAAAAAAAATTAGTATTAGCTGAAAATGCTAAAATTAGCACAATACTGCTAAATAGTAGCAGAAATAGCAGAAAAAAAGCTGAAACGTGCAGAAATAAGCTAAAAGAAGCATAACAAGCTGAAATTAGCAGAAAGAAGTTAGGAGTACAAAGATGTTGTAGTTAGCAGAAAGAACCTGAAAGGAGCACAAAACAGCTGAAATTAGCTGGAAGTAGCTGAAAAAAGTTTATATTTGCAGAAGGAAGCTGAAAGAAGCTGAAGCAGAACAAAATGTAAAAGGAGCAGTAAAGGGTTGTAAACACATCTAAAGATTTGAAGGATATAAAATGAGCTCAAGTCATTTTCTATGAGGAAAAAAGTGGCAGAAAAAGCCAAATATTTCAAAAAGCTAAAGTTGCACCAAAACCAAAAGTCACAGCAGGATTGTCCTGAAAGAGCTGAACGTTTTGATTTATGTGCAACAATGTTCAGTCTGGTCATTGTTGGATTTATTTACCAGTACCTGGATTATTGAGCATGAACTTTGATATTTTGATCTATGATTTGTTGAAATAGCTTGAAAACTGTGGGACGAGAATCACACCGAAAAATGGATGACAAGAGTGAATGCTTCATAAACATTCAGCCGATAAAAACAGGAGACAGTCGAGACTTTGGACTCGAACAGGAAACAGTGAAATGCTTGTTCTCAGTGGACATAGTGATTGTGAAACTTTTTAAAAACATTTTCAGTTTAAAACTCACATTTTCGTCTCTGTCGGTGTAGGACATGCTGCCGTCCAATCGGCTGTACTGGAAGCCTCTCAGATAGCAATAATCCATCAGGATATCCAAGATGGATGTCATCTGACTGAAGATCAGAACCTATCCACAATGATCGTACAAACAGGCATTAATTATTACTGGACATGAACCTTTGTGATTTGATCATTTATGTCTGACACAACGTTCACATTGGTATGAATAGTGTTTGTTTCAGAATAGTACAAGTCAATTTATTGTACACACAAATGTACAGATTTGAACGTTGCAGCTGCATAGAGTTGTGGGCCAGAGTAATTTTCATTCCATTCATAAAGGCTGAAGTGTTTCCTGTGATAAAGCACATAACACAGGACACATCAGTCTGACCAGCTCTTATTGCAGCTGCTATTTACACTTCAGGCTCATTTTACCTACCGGTAGTTCGAAACCTTACCAAGTGAATAAATCTGTGGCTGTAATTGCTTAATCCAACTGGTAATTCAATAAAGTTTTATCAATAAGATGCCTTGAGGTTTATGCCTCGACAAAACAAAAGGCCTTCCTTTACTTGGTGCTGATGCTTTTATTTAGTGTAGGTACTACACTTTAAATTATTAACAAATGTCCAAAATTGAACTTTATGCCATTTAACATGGTTCATTTGTAAATTTCTCTGATGTTTTTAAGTTTGGTGAACGTGAAAAACACTGATGTCGATAAGTCATCCTGCGTGCTGAGGACAAGCCTAGACCTGTGGTCAATAGAACACGTTCCCCTTTTTCTAATTTCTGTAAAGTCTTGTAAAATAAAAGAACAGAACTCAATCTGGGCACTGGGATGACCTACACAGGTGTATGAATGTGATAAAGCACTGATTAGTCTCGTTAGAATGATTTGTTCAATTATCTTTGTATAGATCTAGTATAGAGCTGTATGAATGGGTGAATGAGGCACAGATTGTTGTAAAGAGCTTTGAGTATCTTGATCAGATTGAAAGGTGCTGAATAAGTACAGTCCATTTACAGCCAAAAGTGTATGAAAAAACTAGTTAGTAGTAGGATGATGATCAAAATTTGTGTTTTTTGTTGTGATGTACATTCTGCTGGTGGGATTACTGTACTATTCAATTATAAGTCAGTTTTTTTCATAGTTTTGCCAGTTCTGCAACTTATAGTCCGAAGCGACTTATATGCGTTTTGTTATCCAATATTCATGACACGACACTTTAAATGTTCATTCATACTGACATGAACCGGAGTAAACATTACCAGGTGCAGCCACTAGAGGGCCTTCTAGGCTTTTGGGTCGTCGGATGTGTGCGGCTGAGTCCAGCATGGCTTGGATGGATCGATGGCAGTGGTCCATCCAGCTGAAGCTTAACTGAACTTTTGAATTTTACCTTCGTCAACCGGTCAGTCCGCGCACGGTCAATCGTCCGCGCACGGCTGGTGATCCAAATTGGATCATCAGCCGTGCGCATCCACCGACGCGGCTCGCCCATCCAGCACATTATTTTGGCCTGGCCCGGGTTAGAAGTGACACCTCCATTTCAGAATAAATGCGACTTCCACTTCAAAGTGTCTAATGTGTTTTTCCTCTTCATGATGCTTTTTTTGACTGATGCGACTTATATTCTGGCGCGACGTATAGTGTGGAACATATGGAAATCATTTCTACAAACCCCGTCTAAACCGTAACAGCTGCTGGTTTGGCTGCTCTGGAAGCCTGTCAGTGATTCTAGCTCTGAAAAAATATATTCTCCGTTGGTGCTGAACGCTGTAAAGTTGGTTCACCTTGTGTCCTCTTTCCTTCAGAGCAGGCAGCAGTCTGTCCAGTATAAGAAACTTCCCAGAGCTCTGCACCAGTTGCTCATCAATCTGCAAACAGAAGCACGTGTGAAGAAACCACCTGTTCCAGTACTCCTGACAACAGCCTGTCATGACAGTTGACTGTGTTCGACTGGGAGTCGATGGTTTTCTCCAAACCACAGAAACAGTAAGTAGCATCATCAGCATGAGAGAAGTCTGAGAGTTACCTTGAACTCCTGTGTGGCGGGGTCCAGTGGGTACTCCACCAGGTAGGGGTGATTACAGCACCTCTTTAGAAGCATGAGAATGTTCTGCAGCTTCAGGTTGATCTGCGCATCCAATGGACTCTGAACATCCAGAACTGGTGTGGGGCTAAGAAGACAAAAAGGGGATGAAATGTCCAGCTTCCCTCAAAGCCCCAATTAACCCAGTTGTTACGCAGAAATGTGCTTTATGTGTTGTCTGAGTTCAGTACTGACAGTGAGAGAGAAAGCAGCAGAAACTTTAGGCTCATTGATGCTGGAGCTCAGAGTCAGACTAAAAACAGTGAACATCTTCCACCTGGTTGTTATGACAACAGGAACAGAATCAGTGGGGCTGACCTCAGCTCAGCCTCTTTGCAGAGTCTCTCCAGGTCAAGCGATGGATCTGAATCCTTTTCACTGTAATCCACAAACTTTCTGCTGTGACGTTTTGGTCTGCCGCTTGACGACAACACCACAGGAGCCTCTTTCTAAATAAAACAGATACAACTCTTTCATGATTGGGACTAAGCAGACATGAGAAAACAACACTTATCACTGAGATGAACACTAGTTCAGCGCTAACTTCAAAACAACGTGGTCTCAAATACAAGGACAAGAATGAAAATACAAACTTTTAGAGACCAAATGGCTGAAAACTAAGACACTGATTGTAACATCTGTTTAAACAGTTTTTGTTTTTAATAACTGATATAGTGGATGTGTGAAGGGATCAAGTCACATTAACATATGTGCAATATTCTGCTACTTAAAGTTAAGTTAGGTCCTCTGGACGGATTCTTCTTCGTTGAAACGTTTCGCTTTTTATCCAGAAGACTTCTTCAGTCTGACCCTGCAGCAAACTCAGGCCCTGTTTACACGAGCACATCCTCTGGAAACATGTTTTTTAAATGTTTATTGGGGGCAATAAACAAAAAAAGAGAGTTTACACAAAAAAGCTGTAATTTCCATGTCATTCGGGTTGCCAGATAAAAAATACGAACTATAGTACTGTGACTTTAAAATAATAGTATTTTGACCTAAACTGTCATATGTGCTGAGTAAAGATATTCTAAGATGAGGTGTGTGTTGTGTTTGTTGAAAATCCATCCCTCCATTATCTGAACATATGCACAGAATAGGAGGGGGTAAATAAGACATTTTAAATTTACCTGGCAACGCTCATTGTGCATGCAGCGTCTGCGTGATCACAGTTAGTCCAAACTGGTGAAGACACTAAAGTCTCTTTGGACCCTGGATTTTATGAGTTCTGCTCCTTCATGCTGAAAAAGGATGAGCAGCACAAAAACACTCTGCTCTCTGACATTTATTATAAGTGTTGTTAGTGCAGAAAATTGTGTACTGCAGCCGTCTGGAGTGTGCATGTGCCACTTCACACTTAGTGTTAAGCATATATCTTAGATCTTTTAGCGTACCGTTTAGTGTATATCTTAGTTTAGATCTCAGATCCTTCTATACTGTTTCTTTTTACACTTTATATTTTTGCTATTTTTGGATGTAACTGGTTTCTGGGTGGAGTTTGCATGTTCTCTCCGTGCATGCGTGGGTTTTCTCCGGGTACTCCGGTTTCCTCCCACAGACCAAAAACATGCATGTTAGGCTGATTGGTAACTCTAAAATTGTCCCTAGGTGTGAGTGAGAGAGTGAATGGTTGTTTGTCTCGTTTGTCTCTATGTGTCCCTGTGATGGACTTGCGACCCGTCCAGGGTGTACCCCGCCCCTCGCACAGTGATTGCTGGAAATGGGCACCAGCGACCCCCGTGACCCAAAATGGAATAAACGGGTAAAGAAAAATGGAAGAATGGATGGATGTAACTGGGACCTTGAGTACATAATTTTGTTCCACCTCATGTACCACATGTGATGAAATGACATTAAAATTGACTTGAACTTCATTTCACACCTCCAGTTCCCCCGAAAATCTCCACTCTCAGAGACCTGGATTCAGAAACCTTTGGTTTCAGAGAGAATGAGACTGTTTGTTGGGTAAATGAACGAGCCGCAGCAGAAAAGCTGCAGTTTCACTCAAAAATGGCATTTTGTAAATGGTGTCTTAGACTGACGAAGTCTTTTGGATAAAAGATGAAACGTTTCAACAAAGAAGAATCCATCCAGAGGACCTGACTTAACATTGTTAGATTTTTCTACCTGGATTCTTGAGCAGCATCAGGAAATATTCTGCTATGATATGGCTTGTCATGAGACTGGGTGTGAAATGTAAAAACAGAACAGCCTGCATCAGTCTGTAGTGTTTGGACCTTTTCTTGGCCCAGCATCTTGGTGATGGTCTTGTTGACAACAGCGGTGTAAAAGGCTTCTTGTTTGGGTGTCAGTGGAGCGTAGACAACAATCTCCTTCTTAGGAGGGACGTCCAGAGTCACATCTGACTTTAGCCTTCTCAGCAGGAATGGAGTTAGAATCTGACACAGCACAAAATTTTACATTTACTAACTTTTTCAAAAAAAATATTACACAAAACTTTAGAAATAGAAAAAAGTTTACATACAATTACATGGAATATTATAATGACAATAATATAATAATACGTTTGAGAAATAAATTATGCATTTGAAAAATACCCACATGACCTCAAGACGTCTGAGGTTTTGCTCTTATTCCCAAAATTTAAGGCCATTACAAATTTTAGGTCCATATTTCCCATACCCAGTGTCTAAATTAAAACATTAGTATACTTTAAATCTTTGGAAATTCAACAAGTCACAGCAGGTTACTGTAACCATGACTTGGTAGAAAAGCAGAAGTTAATCAAACACGAACAGATGGAAGGTGAAACGTTTCAGCACAAAAAAAAAGAAACTGTCCAGATGACCTGACTGAAAATTGTTGGATTGAATACTTGGATTATTGAGCATGGACTTTGTTGGTTTTGAACCAGTTTGACATGAAAATCGACGAGGGAGAGGGCCAACACTGGAGGAGGGGGCGTGCCAAAGAGACCATCTTAGCATCAACATAATTGGTTTGTTCCACTTTGGAGTAAGCTGTTGGGGGAAGAATCAGTTTTGTGTTGTTTTGTAGCCACTAGAGCCCGACTGATATGGAAATTTTGGCAATCGACAATACTGATATTGGGAGGTTAAGGCAACCGCCGATATAGTAGCCGAAAACTTTGAGCTTTTTCCACCCCCAAGAATCCAAGTAAACAGCAAGTGAAGCGGGGCTTGTTTATTTAGCGTGGCTGTTAGCAACCATGAAGCTAAGCTAATCAGATCCACGCTTTAATTAGACCCATACTAGGTTTACAAGTGGTGCACTGGTCATAAAAACAGTCTTCCTAACATGCGTTCGTTCACATGTTCTATCCACTATTCACCATAAAGTTATCAAGTGTGTTACAAACCGGATTCCAAAAAAGTTGGGACACTAAACAAATTGTGAATAAAAACTGAATGCAATGATGTGGAGGTGCCAACATCTATTATTTTATTCAGAATAGAACACAAATCACAGATCAAAAGTTTAAACTGAGAGAATGTATCATTTTAAGGGAAAAATCTGTTGTTTCCAAATTTCATGGCGTCAACAAATCCCAAAAAAGTTGGGACAAGTCCATTTTTACCACTGAGTGACATCCCCCCTTCTTCTTACAACACTCAACAGACGTCTGGGGACAGAGGAGACCAGTTTCTCAAGTTTAGAAATAGGAATGCTCTCCCATTCATGTCTAATACAGGCCTCTAACTGTTCAATCGTCTTGGGCCTTCTTTGTCGCACCTTCCTCTTTATGATGTGCCAAATGTTCTCTACAGGTGAAAGATCTAGACTGCAGGCTGGCCATTTCAGTACCCGGATCCTTCTCCTACGTAGCCATGATGTTGTGATTGCTGTAGAATGTGGTCTGGCATGATCGTGTTGAAAAATGCAGGGCCTTCCCTGAAAGATGGGAGCATAATGTTGTTCTAGAACCTGAACATAGTTCTCTGCATTAATGGTGCCTTTCCAGACATGCAAGCTGCCCATGCCACAAGCGCTCATGCAACCCCATACCATCAGTGATGCAGGCTTCTGAACGGAGCGTTGATAACAACTTGGGCTATCCTTGTTCTCTCTGGTCCGGATGACATGGCGTCCCAGTGTTCCATAAAGAACTTCAAATCGTGACTCATCTGACCACAGGACAGTCTTCCATTTTGCCACACTTCATTTTAAATGACCCCTGGCCCAGTGCAAACGTCTGAGCTTGTGGAGCTTGAATAGAAATGGCTTCCTCTTTGCACTGTAGTTTCAGCTGGCAACGGCGGATGGCACGGTGGATTGTGTTCACTGACAATGCTTTCTGGAAGTATTCCTGAGCCCATTCTGTTATTTCCTTGACAGTGGCATTCCTGTTTGAGGTGCAGTGACGTTTAAGGGCCCAGCGATCACGAGCATCCAGTAGAGTTTTACGGCCTTGACCCTTACGCACAGCGATTGTTCCAGATTCTCTGAATCTTTTGATGATGTTATGCATGGTTGATGATGATAACTTAAAAGTCTTTGCTATTTTACGCTGGGTAACACCATTCTGGTATTGCTGCACTATCTTTCTGAGCAACAATGGTGGAATTGGTGATCCTCTTACCATCTTGGCTTCTGAGAGACCCTGACACTCTGAGAAGCTCTTTTTATACCCAATCATGTTGTCAATTGACCTAATTAGTGTTAATTGGTCTTCCAGCTGTTCGTTATATGCTCAATTTCCTTTTTCCAGCCACTTATTGCTACTTGTCCCAACTTTTTTGGGATTTGTTGACACTGTGAAATTTTAAATCAACATAATTTTCCTTTAAAATGTTACATTTACTCAGATTAAACTTTTGATCTGTCATCTATGTTATATTACGAATAAAATATTGACATTTGCCACCTCCACATCATTGCATTCAGTTTTTATTCCCAATTTGTTTAGTGTCCCAACTTTTTTGGAATCCGGTTTGTACAAAAATATAAATTAAACAAAGAAACGCCCTTCCCTGTTCGTTGTTTAAACAGTCAGTCACGTATGGTGACGGTTTCATTAGTACTGACCACAGCAGAGATTTATTTTCTTTGCAGAGAAGTAAAGATTTCAGACAAACAATGCATTTAATTGAGGACAACAAAGATAACGTTATTAACACTGATATATATTTAACCTCTACATTAGTTTTATTGTTCTGGAGAAAAGTTTTAGAAGGCAATAGCCTATGATAGGTTTTCTAAACGTTAGCTTGCTAACCTGAGAGGCACGTAGCTAAGGACAAGTGGGTTGGAGGATTGAAGAGAATTTATTATTGTTGATTTTATTTTCCAGATCAGTTAAAATAAACGTACCATGTTCTGTTCAGCAAAATATACTACACAGTATTGCTCTCTGCATCGTCTGTGCTGTACGTGAAAGTGAAACTTAAGTAAACAACAATGACTTGTCTTCATGCGCCCTCTGCTGGATACATTGTACAATTCCAAGATTCCAAGATTTTTAGGGGTGAAAACTAGAAGTGCTTATATCTGTGTTTAATGGGACGATTATCGCAGCTACCGACAGGTCCCAAAACATCTATATCAGTCTAACTATTAGCTCTACCGATAGAGCTCTAGTTGTCACTGTGACTCGTTTCCCTGCTCCATGGGTGTATCGTAACAGGCCATTGTGTTCAAGCCACTCTCCCTGTTGTGGTCCTTTATCGCCCTATAATTGGACTTTAATTTCTTTAGCTCAGATGAATTCCAATACTGGACAATAAATTTAGGAATGTCTGAACCTCACTGGTCCATGGCACAATTTTTGGAGCTTCCATAGCAAAAACTAGAAAAACAACACACACTCAACATAATCAGAGAGGAAATGGAGGTTCAGATGTAGTTTGCAGTTTTGATGGGTAGGTCATTCAGTGACATAGCTCTGCTGGTCCATCAACGGCTGCTGTCTGCTTGTGTTAAAATTATCACCTTGGAGCAGCCTGCCTGGAACCTCAAACAAGGTCCTATAAACCAAGCTAAGTGGGGGTGGGTACTAGCAGTGGGCAAGCCCTTAACTGGTGCGGTGCAGAACTGATGAAAGCAAAGGGGGCAATGGGGCAAAGTGCCATTAGAGGACTGACCTGGTGCAACATGCTCAGGATGTTCTGCTCACGTTCAGCTACCACCACGCTCTCCGCATCACCAAGGGAGTCAATATCAAACCACGACTCAAAGCTGTACAAAAAAAACAAAAAGGAATTAAGGCTAAGTTAGCATCATATGAAAGAACACCACAAAAGTACCGGAAACAGCACATTATACACCCAATGACAAACTGTTATACAGAAATACTGCAATCTACAGCAATTGCCTGGACAAGCAAAGTGTTTGACACTGATTTGTGAACCTGAAGCAGGGATGATAAAAATTGTGTGACACTCCATCTAGTGATGCATGTATATATCAAGTTTAAATAGATTATCTTGAGCAGATCAGAAGGTATGGTCAGAACAAACAAAGACCTTGTATAACCTTGCACCTTATGTATATCTTGCATTTGACTTTGATTTGTTGCTCAGCAATGAATAAAAAAGAAACAAAGGAAATCAGTCAAATCATGGAACGAGTCACATTAGGGCCAGACTGACAGGTTATCTTTAACCTAAACTACAGCTGTCAGGTGATCAGTAATCACTTATCAATAATGATACAAATCACCTCTTGAGGTCATCGAAGACCTCTGGCAGGAGGAAGTTTAGGAGGGACCAGAGCTCCGCCAGGTTGTTCTGCAGCGGCGTGCCCGTCAGCAGCAGCTTGTTGTCTGTGGGCATCAGCTTCAGCTCCCGCACCAGCCGACAGTTGAGGTTTTTGATCCTGTGGCCTTCATCTACGATCAGATACTTCCACTGGAAGTGCTGCAGCAGGAAACAGTCAGCATGAGTCAAACAGCAATAAAATATCTACAGATCTTCACACCATTGGTTGACATTTATATGTTAAGCCTTCAACTGACTTTGTGTTACAAGCAACCTAGATAAAAAAATAAACATTTAGTTGAATTCTGAAGCAGGGCTTTTCAACTGGTGGCCTGTGGACCAAAGCTCAGTCAGTGAACTCAGAAGTGGTCGTTGACAAGCGGCAAGCTTCAAGCCCATAACTGTTTTTATTTATTTATCAAAACAGACTGGATTTGATCACATTAACAAACTCGTGACTGACAGCAGGTCATCAATAACTGGAAACGTGACTGGGCGGTCAGCTGTGGCACCGCAGATGAAACCCCTTCACTCCCTCATCCATCAGAGTTCTTTGAAGAACACTATGGACTCAGTTATGTTGATGATTAGCAGTCAGCCTCCAGCACAGGCTGCTCTCAGACACAATAACTACTGGATGACCTGAGCTGTAGCTCCCCGAGCAATTTAGTTCAAAAGGCCTGTTCTAGAGGACGTTACCTGCAGATATTTTCTGTCAATCATGGAGATCTCAAAGGAGGTGACGACTACAGGAAACATGTTGAGGGTCCCCTGAACCCTGCGAATCTGCTTCAGCAGCTTGGCCCTCTCTGGCTGAGTGCCATGGTACAGCAGCACAGACACCTAGAACACATGACTCTGTTCAGACAGAGCTACAGATGGAACCAGATTCACTGTTGGTTCTGAAAACTCCTGCAGTTACCTCTGGTGTAAAACGCTTGAATTCACTGATCCAGTTGGGCAGAGTGGAGAGAGGAGCCACCACCAGGAAAGGGCCCATCACTTTTTTCTCGATCATCATGGCGATGTGAGCAATGCACTGAATGGTCTTTCCCAGTCCCATCTCATCAGCCAGAATCCCATTGATACCATTCTCCCACAACATCTGCCACCAGAGGAAAACACATACAGCTTGGTAACAACCAGCCAAAACAGGAACATCAAGGCCACCATGAAGCAATCAGCGGGGTTTGTTGGAGTCACACAAGCTCTGTTCAGACTGTAACAGAAGCTAACAATGTTTTCAGTAACAGAATTGTGTTTATGTAGATGTTACTTTGAAATGTATCATCTAGTTAAACCTTGTTCCTGACCACATTTGTGTTGAAATGCTATTAGCATAAATTCCTAAATTATGGCTAAAAATCAACAAGGCTTTTACAACAATGACGCATACCGTATTTTTCGCCATATAAGTTGCAGTTTTTTTTTCATAATTTGCATGCCCTGCGACTTATAAACTGAAGCGATGTATTTATGGATTTTCCCCCTCATATTTATAAACTGATTTTTGGCAGAGATATGACCGTTTTCATTCATTCTGACCTGAAAATATTGAATGCTATCATTTTCAGCTGCTAGATGGCAATCTAGTAGTATGGCATGCTGTTGTATCATGTAATAGGTAAAAGTGGCTATTAATGACACAATCAGCTTGCCATACACTGCCACCTTCGTCCAGCTCGCCTGGAGCAACCGTCAAATCAGCTTCATTTCACTGCACCGCTCCAGAGAAATTCAGCTAATTTGACCACTGAAGTGAATTTATTAAGTAAAAGTTCAACTGAGACACACCTTTACTATAATATGGAGCAAACAAATAATTGTTTTAGGTGTTTATCTTGTTAAAGTCCTCCCGTGCACACTCCCCGCAGCTGCCATTTGGCAGCCAATCGATTTTTGGCACAACACCGGCCCACATTTCCAGGTTGTCAGTGATGATGCATGAGATGCAATGTATACGGTGAAGCAACGCATTTATGGATTTTTCCACTTTAGACATATTTGGACTGATAGGGTGGTGCGACGTGTACGGCGGAAAATACGATACAGTGTACAGCCAAAAAAAAAAGCTTTCATCCTGCCAGTCTCACCCTCATCCACTCGATGCCCTCGATCTGGTACCACCTCATGATCCCTCCTGAGAACAGCTGTGGTTGCTGCATAGGGACCGGCTGCCCGTTCACCTTCCTGTCAGGATGGAGGAGATGCTTGGCGTTTTCTCGAACAGTCTCCGACAGGCGATCCTTGATGTCTTGGTTGGAATCACTCAGCTTTTCGATATCTTCAGCTTCTAGTTTCTTCTGGACAGAAGCACCATTCTTAAAAAAATAAAAAATGATGAAATACACATTTAGCATTACTCAGACAAAAGATAGTTCTATGAAGAAAGTTATTGTCACAATACTTTGAGTTAATGATTTTAATTTATCTGCAATGTGTTACTTGGCTGTACATGCAAACATTTTGTTGCACTTTTCATTTGTGGCTTTTTATTTGGAATTAGAAATGTGTTTTTCTAAATTTTATGCAATACTTCTACATTTCATCAGCTTAATGTAAAAATCTACTCATTTGTTGACATAAAAAGTTCAACTTTACACTAAGAAAAATTTTGTAAAATCTCTAAAACACATTTGGGTCCAAAAGAACTCATAAAAATAACAGAGACTTTTTTTAATCCATGAATTTAGAACTCCGTTTTGTTCACAGCTTGTTTCTTAGTTTTTAGTTTTTCTTTTTCCAGGAGTGTCCCATTTAGTGATCAGACCTTAGGGTACCGTGGAAATGTACATTTGTAAATAACAAAACCCACAGAAAACATTTGAAGCACATTACTTTCCTTGAAAGAGCCAGCAGTATCAGTTGTGCTTGTGTGTGTCGAGTCAGCTGAATAAAACTCTGGTACATAAGGACTACAGCAGTCCCTCGCTACTTCACAGTTCAACTTTTGCAGACTCGCTCTTTCACAGTTTTTCAAAGTAAGATTGTACATGAGAAGAAAAATTAAAATTGTACACGACACACGATTGCCAACTTTAATATTACTCATGTGTTTGGGATGGTACAGGATACAGTCAAGTTAACAGAAAAAAAATACTTTGGACAGGTGCCGCTATTTTGTAGTTTTCTCTCATATGGGTGGGTCTATAGATGAGATGGTACTTTCTTTTTCTTTGTGTACTTGATGGTGTATGAATATCTTCACCACTTGCTCGTGCCGAGATCGGATGCTTCTCTCCTCCCTCTCCGCTTTGCTTTGCTACTCTGTCTGTCTGTGAAACTGCTTGTGAGACTCTCTTACATTTCTTCCGAACCATAATTATGGACTGTTTTGACCAGTTGGTCCTCAACTCAATTTACAACATTTCTTCAAAGAGAAGACAGGCTTCAGGCGAGTCGATTTACCCTGTTGGCACGCACACAGCTGGATATCTCATCGACTGGAAGATTTGATGATGTGTCTATCTCTGCTGCCATTTGTGGATTTTAAGGACACATATTTAATTGGATTTGCGATAACTGGTTCCTGCTTTTTTGGATTCGTCTGGTTGTTGGTTTTATCTACAATCAAGGAAGTCGTCGGCAGCAAATTGGGACCTGATCACGCTGCTTGCCTTTATGATGGCTTGGTTCGTGTCTCAAGTACCCAGACTCAAATGCTTTGGGCAAAATGGATCAGATCTCGGGGATTTTACTCAGTCACGTTCCATCGGTGTGGCCATGTAATTTGGACATTTCGGAAGCGTTTGGACCTACACAGACTCAAGGTAGATGTCATTAAGTTCTGCCTGTCCCCAAAACAACTGTGTGTTTATCTGAATCTGAATTCATCTGGAGAACATGTGATCTGACGCTCACCACCCCCTCCCTGAGGAATTTCCAACTGGTAACCAGATGAAACCAGCTGAATAAACTTTGTGTCATCATTCCAGGACTCTTGGATTCTCATAGACGTTATTCTTGGCCATTCCTCAACATACCTCGAGAATGTTTACAGATCTCACCAGAGGACACTGGCTGATTATTACATCCTTATCAGAACTCTTACAGTGACCTCGAGAGCGTCTATGAACATGCTCATTGCTCTCGTCATCTCCCCCCCTCTGCAGAATGTCTACGTCACTATGTGCTTGTTTGTGCGAGGTGATTTTCAATATCAAGTTTTTTCTTCTCAGGCAGGAAAAAAGTCTGATAGGAATTCTTTCGCCTCCAATTCCTACATGTGTCCAGTTTCACTACTTTCTGTTTGTCCAAACAGATCTCACTTGTAAATGAGTCTTCTAGGCTCAATGTGATTTATCTTTCTAAATAAAGGTTGAATGAATATTATTATTATTAAGCCAGTGTTGTCTCGATTTAATATTTTACAGTTCTGTTTTTCTTTTGATGCTTGTAATTAATTTTCAGTACAATCATTATTTGTTACTTTTTCCCATGAAATTACTCCTGTTTATTTTATTGTTAAGCAGTTTGGTAACAGCTGCTGTTTTAAATGTGCTTTATGAATAAAGTTGACTTGACTATTATGTGATAATTTGGTTATTTTATTATGTAAATAATATCAGCAGACGTGTTATGTGTTGTCAGGGCTTGTAGTTCAGTGTTTCCCCTTCAGTTATCCAAGGAGGGTGCTGTCATTCCCCGATCTGTTACGGAAGCATGATACGTAGTGTACATCTGGGTCGCACGGATCACCGATCTTTATGAATAAAAACTGTCTTAATTTACTTAGAAAAGTACGTGCTCTACCTCAACCGATCTTCATGTAGCTAATTTACGCCACTCATATTTCCGTTACAAATCATTGGTTAAGATGATATGTGATGCATTAGACCTGAGCCCCAGGCTGGGCTGAATGAGAAAACCCTGCAAGATACAGAATGAACTATTTCCATGGTGAAACAGTGACGCTCAGTGCTGAAGCTGCATATCATTTTAACCATGACGTAAATATGACAATGATTTTAACGGAAATACGAGTGACGTAAATTAGCAACATGAAAATCGGCGGAGACGGAGCACATACTTTTTAAAGTAAATTAAGAAAGTTCCTATTCATAAACAGAATTATATTAGTATTTTTTCCTTAATCTAGCATACTGAATGGCGATCCGTGCGACCCAGAAGTATTCCTTTTAGCGTATGCACAAATGAGCTGCACTACGGATCAGCTTCCGTAACAAATCAGGAAACGATAGGCGCCCCACCCTATCAACATAACCAAGAGCCCCACCTACCAAACTCCCCCATCCCCCACTCTGCTCCCCTTCTAGAGGGGGAGCAGACTCCAAACTGCACACAATACATGCACAGTGCTCTGCTACACACACAACCCCACCCCCTTAGAGCTTTTAAGTATAAGATGGCTATTTTGAATATTTTATTAAGTAATTAAAAACCGGATTCCAAAAAAGTTGGGACACTAAACAAATTGTGAATAAAAACTGAATGCAATGATGTGGAGGTGCCAACATCTATTATTTTATTCAGAATAGATCACAAATCACAGAACAAAAGTTTAAACTGAGAGAATGTATCATTTTAAGGGAAAAATCTGTTGTTTCCAAATTTCATGGTGTCAACAAATCCCAAAAAAGTTGGGACAAGTCCATTTTTACCACTGTGTGGCATCCCCCCTTCTTCTTACAACACTCAACAGACGTCTGGGGACAGAGGAGACCAGTTTCTCAAGTTTAGAAATAGGAATGCTCTCCCATTCATGTCTAATACAGGCCTCTAACTGTTCAATC